GTGGCCGCTGTCGGTCAGCCCTGCCGGGACGAGAAGGCTCAGCGCTCCCGGACGGGGACGCGGGCTCTATTGGATACGGACTTGTAGTTTGAAGGCTCTGACCGCTCTGTAGAGCAGACTATCCTCATGGTAATGCATCTGGTTTGGTTTTAAAACGGTCTGATAGCTGTTAACTTGCACTCTAATGTGTGCCCCCACGTTCATGCACTTCGGCGAGTGCCTAAGTGCATTCAGGTTTAAAGAAAAAACCTTACCTACATATGATGGGTTGACTACCGCTGTTCAACCGCACCGAGTCCATTACGAGCTCAGAATCTTTGACGTGCCTGGCAAAGGCCAGACACAGCCGCCCGTTGTGATCGTTGCACGGCCCATGGTGCAAAAGTGCCGACAAATGTTGAAACTCTGTTTATAGAACGAAACGGAATAAAGCCAGACATGAATTCTTACTTTAAATGCGTTTAAGATATTTGTGACCAGACCATTATGGACCATAATCATTCCTTACCTTTGTGAGTCTTGTAGTATTTCATATAGTCGTCGACCTTTGCATCCGGGAGTCCGCATGCTCTGAGAAAGTCCGCGAAACAGGGCGTCTCGTGCTCAGAGTCGGGGTCCGACAGCTCTGACGGGTCGTCTAGACTTGGATCCGTGTCCGGATCGGTCAGCTTGCATAGCTCCAGCTGGTCGTCAAACATCATGTGGAGCGTCCGGAGCTCTTCGTTGGGGGTGTCCGGGTCCAAGTCCTTCACCTGCAGGCTCTTGACTTTGCGTCTCTTTCGCTTCACTTCAGGTTGTTTTGCCAACTTGCTGGTGGAGCTGGTGGAGCCTGGTGGAGCTGGTGGTGCAGCTGCAGGCTTTGGAGGAGGTGGAGCTTTGGCGGCTGGTTCCTCCGCCCCACCAACACAACACTGAAACAATCCGGACAAATGCCCGTCGGTGCATGTTCTGGAATAAATTTCGGATTGCATTAGCTGAAGGAATGTTTTTGTTGTATCCAGCATGCTCTCAAAAAAGCGTGAGAAACGCGAGATTTTAGGGTCTCAATCCGTACATTTAGATCCCCCTACGCTGATATGTTACGATATCACCCTTCCCCGCATGCATTCTACGGGTGCAATTTCACCGCCAAAGCAACATGAATACTAAACGCTGTGGCTGCTGATTGCGGCTTGAAGAACCAATCTCACTCAGAAATAAAGCAGATAATTACGAATAGTTTCTTCCATCCCGGTTGCGTTTTGGGCGCTGGTGCCGGCGCGGTCGGCGGCGTCGTCGGAGCAGCATCCGTCTGGTCTGCCTCCGCCGCTGCAGCCGCCGCCTTCGCGGCCTCCGCCTCTGTCTTGTCCTTCAGCGAGTCCTCGTAATCCGGGTCATCTGGCTCAGGGTTGTACTCCTTGACGGCGGAGAGCTTTTGTTTAGAGACCTTGGAGTAAGGCCGCCGGTACTCGGTGAGCAGCGGGTCTTTGCCGAGCTGGACGCACCAGCACCTTTTTCTGGAAGTGGACGCGACCGGCGCTGCTCCTGCTGCTTTCTTCGTCCGTGTCGTCGCTGGCCGTGTCCTGGTGGTGCCGCTCCGCGCGGCGCTCGTAGTCGCTCTTGCGCGCCACCGAGTCGCGGTACTCGCGGAAGTTGTGGCTGGCACGCAGGCTCTCCTGGAGCCGCCAGAGCACCGCCTCGACGAACTCGTCGCCGCCCTCGGCGCGGACGTCGCGCAGTGCCGACAGCTCGCTCTCGGACTCGGGCGAGCCGACGTAGCGGCGCGGCGGGTGCGTGGCAGCGAACGGCGGCTCTGAGCTGACCGACGTGGCCGACGACTGGGCGGCCGGGTCGGTCCGGAGCGTCTCGTCCGACGGCACATCCGTCAGCATCCAGTCGGGCACGCGCCGCCGTCGTCGCCGACCGCGCTCTCGGCTCTTCAGCACGGACGGCGGGCCGGCCTGCTCGTCGTCGCTGCCGTCTTGGATGAGGAAGCCGAACCGCTGCTTGACCTGGCGGCCGGCGGGAGTAAGGTCGGTCGGGTCGGAGAGGTCGTACTCGCCGATGCCGCCTAGCTCTCGGATCCGGTTCTGGATGCGCGTGATTAGCATGGCTTCGAAGCCCTCGTCGTACGGTGCGTCGATGTGGTTGGCCGAGACATCGCTGCGGCTGTCTGTAGGGGCCGCCGGCTCATTATCCGGCTCCTGCTTCACGGACACCGAACTGTCCATCATGCTGCCGCCCGAGCTGGTCTGGCCGACCTCGCGATAGCGTTGTCGAGCACTCTCCGGTTCGATGCCAGTTTCAGGTACGCCATCCACTGGTGGCACAGCACTCAGGCCAATCCTGGCCGCAAAAGCTGCCAGACCATCAGGGAATCGGTCGTAGATGATTTGATGATGAATCCGAATCTCTGGATTTCTGTTCTGGTTCCACTGTGCAACGTCCGGGTCTTGGGTGTATTTTTCCACAACTGTGCGAAAGTCTGAGGCGGACTGTGAATCAGAAGATGCCAAGTACCCAGCGTCAAAGGAGAGGTGGACATTTGTATTCGGAGGTAGTCCCTCCTGTGGGTCGTCGTTCACGATACTTTCCTGACATCGCAATCCCGCCGGGGTCAGCGTCGCTTCCGACTCCGTGGGGTCTCGGGATTCTAGTTCGGGATGTTTTATGTCGAGAGACTCACACGATGCGTCATATTCTGATGTCAGGTTTTGTGACTCCTTAGGTAATGCTTGCAATTCCCCTCGCGGCAGT